TATATATAATATATATATATATGTATGTGTGCTGAACTGAAATATCATGTTCTTCTCCTTCAGAGAGAGTGTTGCTTTTCTCCAGGCATCCTTGGTGACAGCCACATATGTAGCAAAGTTTGGAAACCCACATCCTCTAACTATGACAGACTGGCTGAACATAAGCTGTAAGTAGATGGTGCAAAGAGCCAATTCATACATATGTTTTTTTTGTGTACACTCCTTGTATTTAATGTAATGACATCATGCATTTGCTGATAATATTGTTATTTTTACTATAGTTTTAACTTGTAAAAGCAAGTTTGACAGCGCTCAAATTACTATCTCTTTCTTACAACACATAAATTCAAGTTGTGACACCGAACTCTAGCACAGCTGTGGAAGACACCACAAATTCATGCTATGGGATTCCATCCCACCTGCATATCCATGTCTGGACTCTTATTACTGGCGAGATAGATGGAGTACCTCAAAAGGAGATACCTGCTTTGAAAGTCAGGTGTGTATCAGGTCTATACTCATTGCATTGTGCAGTGTAAATTGTATTCTCTATTGAGGAGTAGCTGTTAATCATTATGAGTCACCATATGTTCTTATTCCTGTTAGATTTACAAGGTAGTATGTCATTATGACTCAAGATTTCTGTTTTGGTTATTTGTAGCTATAGCTTCTCCACCTGGGCACAAGATTGTGGAGGTAATGTCTCTCTGTGTGTGGACCCAGTGAAGAATCAGTTGTTCCCCATCACCTCCTCAGTCACCTTTATTGACATTCCTGTCAACACAGGACCACCAAAAACAAGGTGCTTCCTCAGTCTCAAAGGGAGACTACCCTTATAAAGAGGGCTGTTAACTTGAGCCAAATAAATAACTGTTGCCTCACTGATTATAACCTGGAATGTTGTGTTTTGTTTCCCCCTCAGGTTTCAGATCAACTTCACAGAGTATGACTGTAACAGGAATGATGTGTGTTGGCCTGAGCTTGTCTTTCCTATCACCAAGTATTACACAGGTTGGAATTGATCTAATCCTTGAAAATCTATATTTTATTGTTTCATATAGGAGATCATTAAGTAAATTGAAAACTGTCTTCATGCTAAGAGAAATGTAATTACTGTGAAACAACAGTATTTAAAAGCATAATTGAAAATGAGTACAACTGACCCATAGCTGTGAAACATTTATGCTAAAAACACTGCTTATACAGTGCCTTGCGAAAGTATTCGGCCCCCTTGAACTTTGCGACCTTTTGCCACATTTCAGGCTTCAAACATAAAGATATAAAACTGTAATTGTTTGTGAAGAATCAACAACAAGTGGGACACAATCATGAAGTGGAACGAAATTTATTGGATATTTCAAACTTTTTTAACAAATAAAAAACTGAATAATTGGGCGTGCAAAATTATTCAGCCCCTTTACTTTCAGTGCAGCAAACTCTCTCCAGAAGTTCAGTGAGGATCTCTGAATGATCCAATGTTGACCTAAATGACTAATGATGATAAATAGAATCCACCTGTGTGTAATCAAGTCTCCGTATAAATGCACCTGCACTGTGATAGTCTCAGAGGTCCGTTTAAAGCGCAGAGAGCATCATGAAGAACAAGGAACACACCAGGCAGGTCCGAGATACTGTTGTGGAGAAGTTTAAAGCCGGATTTGGATACAAAAAGATTTCCCAAGCTTTAAACATCCCAAGGAGCACTGTGCAAGCGATAATATTGAAATGGAAGGAGTATCAGACCACTGCAAATCTACCAAGACCTGGCCGTCCCTCTAAACTTTCAGCTCATACAAGGAGAAGACTGATCAGAGATGCAGCCAAGAGGCCCATGATCACTCTGGATGAACTGCAGAGATCTACAGCTGAGGTGGGAGACTCTGTCCATAGGACAACAATCAGTCGTATACTGCACAAATCTGGCCTTTATGGACGAGTGGCAAGAAGAAAGCCATTTCTTAAAGATATCCATAAAAAGTGTCGTTTAAAGTTTGCCACAAGCCACCTGGGAGACACACCAAACATGTGGAAGAAGGTGCTCTGGTCAGATGAAACCAAAATCGAACTTTTTGGCAACAATGCAAAATGTTATGTTTGGCGTAAAAGCAACACAGCTCATCACCCTGAACACACCATCCCCATTGTCAAACATGGTGGTGGCAGCATCATGGTTTGGGCCTGCTTTTCTTCAGCAGGGACCGGGAAGATGGTTAAAATTGATGGGAAGATGGATGGAGCCAAATACAGGACCATTCTGGAAGGAAACCTGATGGAGTCTGCAAAAGACCTGAGACTGGGACGGAGCTTTGTCTTCCAACAAGACAATGATCCAAGACATAAAGCAAAATCTACAATGGAATGGTTCACAGATAAACATATCCAGGTGTTAGAATGGCCAAGTCAAAGTCCAGACCTGAATCCAATCGAGAATCTGTGGAAAGAGCTGAAAACTGCTGTTCACAAACGCTCTCTATCCAACCTCACTGAGCTCGAGCTGTTTTGCAAGGCGGAATGGGCAAAAATTTCAGTCTCTCGATGTGCAAAACTGATAGAGACATACCCCAAGCGACTTACAGCTGTAATCGCAGCAAAAGGTGGCGCTACAAAGTATTAACTTAAGGGGGCTGAATAATTTTGCACGCCCAATTTTTCAGTTTTTTATTTGTTAAAAAAAAAGTGTGAAATATCCAATAAATTTCGTTCCACTTCATGATTGTGTCCCACTTGTTGTTGATTCTTCACAAAAAAATTACAGTTTTATATCTTTATCTTTGAAGCCTGAAATGTGGCAAAAGGTCGCAAAGTTCAAGGGGGCTGAATACTTTCGCAAGGCACTGTATATGACAACAAATAATGATGGTACTGACTTATTTTACTTTTATCCTCCCCAGGTGAGCCATATTCTCAGTCACTGGCTAAGGGCCTTATCTTGGTTTTCTTCTTTATCGCTGCCTCGATTCTTGGCACACCGTGGAGACAAATTCGACAGGCATGGAACAGTGCTGCTCTCTAAATTCTGTGGAAATGCTGAGTCAAATGTAGAGGAAGATGCACAAATGCAGGGAGGTTGAGAGGATGAGAGAGTAAATAAAATGTAATTAAATCTAACTGAAATGTATTAACACCTTTTTTCATGTTACGCTTATATTAATATAGTTTTTACATGTGTATACTGTGTTGTGGGGATGGAAGTATTTGTATTAGTCAGCCATTTTGAATAAAAAATATTTGTGTAATTTTTGTTTTAGACTGAAGCACTCTCTCTCTATATATATATACTGTATATTAATACTAACATGAACATTGACATCTGAAATCTGAAAATTGGACAGGCCTCTCATGTGACAGTTTTCATAACCTGGGTATTCCAGTTTTGCTCTGGGCCCATTTAAGAAGTTTATCCAGCCATGATAATTATTCTTGTAGAGTGAGACAGTAATAAAATAATTACACTGACTTCAGATATTCCAGATGTGTATGCAAAGTGTTTTACACCCTTTAAAATTTGTTTTAGGATTATGGTAAGGGGCTACTGGACCATGACCAGCTTGTAGAGGCAGGCAGTCCTATTAGGCTCGGACAATTTTTTGTTATTATTATTGTTATTATATTGTTGGTGTTGCTGCTGTTGGTTTTTCTTTTCCGCCTTCAGGCAGCGCTGAGGGTGAAAAGGCATTAATGGCACGACAAAAAGTGAATGCGTGGTGCGCAGACTCCGGGGAAACTGATACTATTCAACAGAGTCAAGTCAAGTGGTGAATGCGTGGTGCGCAGACTCCGGGGGAAGCTGATACTATTCAACAGAGTCAAGTTAAGTTAAGTGAAGTGAAGTGAGGTGACGTGGAGTACTTTGGACGTCTTCTGAAAGTTCAGAAACTATGAGAAGAGTTGTGGACACATATTTCGATAAGCTATATTAGCGGTCTGAATGTCGATTGCCTTCAAATTTTTCTGGTTCAGCTTTAACGAAACAAGTTTTTCATCCAAGAAACAACACGGCGCTCTCCGGGGGCTAGCGCATTAGCTAACAGGAACAGCCTCTGTTGTAAATATAGCCAAGTAACTAAATTCCACGTCATGCAAGACAAATATTATATTGTCACCGGGGTGGCAAAACATGAAAAGGACTAAGAAGGACTTGACTGCCTACCACTGACGTTTGACTTACAGGAGCTACAATAGTTAGCGTGCTAATATTAGCCTGTCAGTCGAGCAGGAAAGGATCAGTGCGAAGCTGTGAAAATGTGCTCCCTGCTCCGAGGTGAAGAGATGTGTCTGGCCCAGCTGTTTCTACAGTCCGTGTCCGCATACGACTGTATCAGTGAACTTGGAGAACTGGGGCTTGTGGAGTTCAGAGACGTAAGTGACGTTAATAATAGATCGATTTAATCTGAAAGTAAATCTCACTTTGAAAGTTATTGCTGACTTTGCTAACATCGAAAGCTGTGGGCAAAGTGCAAGCCTCCCTCTCTATCGCTACCTGATGTTTAACATAAAGCTAGATTAATTTTTTTCTACCTGAAGATATAGTATGTCTAATTTTCTCAGTGCCGAGTAGGGCTGACTGTTAATCAGTCAATAATGAAATGACTGTCTCTTACACCTGTTTCAGCTCAACCCCAGTGTTAACGCATTCCAGCGAAAATATGTCAAAGAGATCAAAAAATGTGATGAGATGGAGAGGATCCTTGGTAAGAAAATATTGATCTTTAATATTCATTTTAGCAATAAGGCCCCCATCTATTTATCGAGTTACACCTGTAGCCAGAATCTGGGAAAGCTGGGATGGGAATGTAGAAGTAAAACAGGAACACATGAAACCGTAGAAGGCTGCCTGGTTCAACTGAATAGAGAGCAGATGACCCTACAGTCATGAGAAATGTCAATGTGTTGTATAATGAAACAGCATCCTTGTTTAACTAAACCCTTTTGCTATTAGATTAAGAGAAGAGAATAACACACTGTTGGACTGTGCTTAAACTCCAGTGTTGTACAAAGACAGGTCATGGTATTTTGAAACTCTGAAACATTTCACTTTGTTTTTGTCTCTTACAAAAGATCACTATTTATTTTAACAGGATACCTTCTGAGAGAAATCAAGAAAGCAGATATTTCAGTGCCAGAAGTAGAAGTGAACCCAGTGGCTCCTTTACCCAGGCACATCATGGCTATAATGGTTAGTCATCATTTTGAATATATGTTGTTGTTGATTGTTGTTGAATAATGCTGATGACAGATTTTCAAACTACAAGCTAAGTGAATGTATTGGCAATTTTATATTAGATGGCATTTAGAAAATCAGCTCATTATTCCTCAGGAGAGTATGTAAGACCAGTATATTAGACCAGATCTTATGCTGTGGTCAGAAACACAGTGGACTGTGTATTATGTGGAGCTTTCAGTTCACAGGGAGGATGCTGTAGAAACAACTTATGGGAGGAAAAAGCTCACGTAACTAGAACTGGTTACAGTGGACTGTTTCTGGAAAGCTAAGATCCACCCAGTGGAGGCTGGCTGTAGAGGTTTGAATGCAACTGTGTCAAAGGTAGAAGAAAGACAACTGCAGATATGCCTTTGTGGTTGGAGGAAAGTGACTTCTAACAGGGTCTTAGAATACATCAGGGAAAGAAAAGGTGCTTGGATGCAGATGCAGAGCACAGTGACCTTCAATCCCACACTGAACAGTTTTTCAGTTGGGTGAAATCCAGCAACAGGTGAATAACCAAAGAGTGCAGGATATAAACATCCCTGTCAGTGGGGAGGAAGCAGAAGGTAGCACCAAACAGCAGATTCAAGGGTTTAGAGTAAAAACCAAAAGTAAATTGAGGCTGGTGAGAAGGGTATTGGGCATGAGTTAATTTGGATCTGGCAGGTGAGATGTTATTTATGAATATGGAGTGCAAAGGATTGGAATTTGTGAGAGTAGAAATAATGAAAAAGTGTCAGATGGTAAGGATGAGGGCATTAATTTGTTGCAAAGTGACCAGAAGTTTTTATACATATAGCCCATATCAGCAGAATGTTAGTTTCCAACTGTAACAGGTTGTATGGAGAATATGAGATACAAATAGCCTACAGGTAGATAACCCTTTATAAATAAATGTACTAACATGGTTAAATATTTTGCTTCTGAAACGAGCCAGGCAATGACATACCAGTATTTGAATATAAACCGCTCATAATTGACCCTGCAGCCGAAACAAATGGACCTCTGTCACAAGAAAATGTTATAGCAACCTGTGCACAGCCTTTATAGGACATACATGCTGCAGCTATGAGTGAGGAATGCCTGATTGCACTCCAAATGGATCCGTCGTCTTTTGGCTATAATTATGATTATACACCACTCGTGACTGTTTTTGCATTTTATCACAGTTTGATAACACCAAAGCAGCTGTATATGTAGATAAACTGGATGTTTACAGGCTACACACGCCCCAGCGGACCGCAGTCACTTTCTGAGAAAGTTTGTTTGTGTATTTTTTATGGGGTCAGATTAGGGTCAGTGTGAGTCAATCAGTCATTAGGTTAGCAAACGGGCAGACAACACAGATGTAACCATGAGCAGGATGTCGAAAAATACTTCAGTAGTGCGTTTTATGATCGGCGTTTAAACATCCATGTTTTACTGTTAGAGATTAAAGTTATGAGCTGGACACATGCAGTACTTTGGTCTACACCACTGACTGTATATAAATACTTGAATACTGAGAATGCTTAGGCATTCTTTGGCTCATTTAACTGTGTAACTTTTGGGTTACTGTCATGTCTTTGATTGCTGGCTGGCTGTGTTTTCACAGGAGCAGCTGCAGAGGCTAGAAGTGGAGTTAAACGAAGTCACCAAGAATAAAGAGATGCTGCAGAAGAATCTGCTGGAGCTGACAGAGTACACACACATGCTACGCATAACCCGCAGCTTTGTACAGAGAGGTGCTGAGGTATGTATACATGTGTATGTCAAATAATCTACTCTGATATGATTTTGATTTAGAATTTCTTCTTCTCCCCTCTTTTGTTTCGTCTGTACTTTTAGGGAGGGGCCCTACACGTACAGTATGAGGAGTTTCCTTTCCTAGAAAAGGACACAGTAATGGACTACAGCAGCATGCAGAGACTAGAGGCCAAACTGGGGTGAGGGATGACATTCTGCTAGCTGTGTCAGACTTATGTCTAGATGAGCACATTGAGGCATTAATAATGTAAGATTGTTTAGGTAACGGCAAAGCCACGGTCACTGTTATGCTATCCAGACTGGTCAGATGCACATACAGTGGGTACGGAAAGTATTCAGACCCCCTTAAATTTTTCACTCTTTGTTATATTGCAGCCATATGCTAAAATCATTTAAGTTCATTTTTTTCCTCATTAATGTACACACAGCACCCCATATTGACAGAAAAACACGGAATTTGACATTTTTGCAGATTTATTAAAAAAGAAAAACTGAAATAACACATGGTCATAAGTATTCAGACCCTTTGCTCAGTATTTAGTAGAAGCACCCTTTTGAGCTAATACAGCCATGAGTCTTTTTGGGAATGATGCAACAAGTTTTTCACACCTGCATTTGGGGATCCTCTGCCATTCCTCCTTGCAGATCCTCTCCAGTTCTGTCAGGTTGGATGGTAAACGTTGGTCGTCATGTTTAACATGTCATTTTGCTTCAGTGGCATTTTGGTCTGTTTCACCCAGATAGATGAGTCGGTGTGAAAATGTGGGAAAGATGGTCAAAAATGTGATTTAATGTGCTTCTCTTAAAAGCAGTTGTAGGTTTGGTGGTTGAATAAAAATGGGAAGGAGAAAGCTGTGTGACCACACAAAGCAGTTTTGAGTTTTGAGATTCAGTAAATTTGCCACTTCCCCTTTTTTTAACTGTCTTCTTTTTTATGTGGTGTCAAATCTGTGAAAAAGAAAACATTTGTTTGTACATGACCCGGTTGTACTTTTCCTCAGATGCCTGGTAATATCTAACATCTTCAGAATGAATCTAAATGGTAAATCATAATAATGTGGTTTATGATGACATATGAGTGCACTTTTCAAAGTACTCTACATCAGGATATTTCATTCTGACTGACAAGATGTACTTAACATGTACTTACCAAACAAACAAAAACACTATCTTTATAATAATGACCCTCATCAGTCAAATTAAATATTCTTCATATTTTATATTAGAAAACCAGACAGGAAAATGTTGTTTTTACTGCGCCAACCAAACCAGTGCTTTCAGATGAAGACTTTTAAAGTGTAGGTGAAAACTAAAAATCGACAGTATGAATCTTTCATCACAGGAACTCACAGGAATTGCACATTAAATAGTTTATTATTGAAAGAAAAGTGGATGAATAAATCAATTATAAAACAAACACAAGTGAGAATACATGGAGGACTGCAGACTTAATCTAAACGATATCCGGGACTCACCGCTCAGCAGGGAGGGATTTCATTCATGAAGTGCTGGAGGAAGAAATGGGAGGATGTCTGACCTTCGCTCCCATACTTATGTCTGTGACAGGAGGGTGTCCCTGTGTTGTTGTCAGGCCGGTCCGTCAAGCAGTTACCACACTGAAAAAGGAAAGGTCCTGTGTAAGAACAGAAATCCTGAGTAAAGCCCCTTTCACAAGACATTTCACAAGCTCAACCAAGCCGGCAGAAAGTAACATAGAGGCACAGGGTTGATAAAGTCAGTGATAAAAGTGACTCTGGTGAACTCAACATGTCCTCACCAGTATCTTCAAGTTAAAACCTG